AACCAATAATAATATTATTTCATCAAACAATAATTAAATTTACTGCATGACGTCTCGATCAACTTGGACATAGTCGTCTATAGCGTTAGCTAGTAGTAAAATAAGATTCGACTGAAACAATATTTATATTTTGTGCTACATCTAAAGAATTGAATTTTTTTACACAATAGTGTTAGTACTGGTTCGTTAATAGAAATTGAATTAATATCTAATTTTATCAATGTATGTTTATATATAAAGTTTTTATTTTTATGCATACTTTAAATAAAAATATTTAGATAATCGCATTGAGTAACATGTTATGGTGTACAGCGAATATAGATAAGAATTTGTGTTTAACATTGCATGTCGTAATAAATAAATCATAATAGCATTGTTCTCAAATCCTGAACAGCAAATTTCAAAAAATTAATTACACAAATTGCACATATTATGTATTCACAAATGGTCCTTGACCAAAATTTAAGGACATAAATTTCACATGATCCACTGACATTCCTTTAATTAAAAATATTTAACAAAATCTTGAGATACAAATCACTTCAATATTTGTACAATATACTGTATATAATAATAGAAAAATAATGTATGGTATCGCAATAAGTTAATAATAACGTCCTCAAATTTCAATGTTTCATTAAAAATACATCAAACGTTAAAGAATGAAATTAGCTAATTTCTTGCTTATGAGTCATAGGAATCGTTCCTATCATCTGGCTGTCCCTTCTGTTGTCAAAAACGCCGCACCTATGTTTCGTAAAAATATATAAATAAAACTGTTTAAAACAGAAACAATCAAAATCATCGTATTAATTGTTACAAACCTCCACCATATCCATAACCCTAAAAAAAATCAAAAAATAAAAGTCATTAAATGTAAAGAATATAAGTGAATGAATTTTCCATTAATTTCATTATTATTACCTTTGGTCCAAATTCTCTGGAGTAGCAAGAACTGCAGTAAAGTTTACCATCACGATCTGTCATGTTAGTAGAATTTAAAAGCTTACTGCAAGTTTCGCAACGTAAACACAATTTATGATATTTTATTCCAGCCCCCATAACCTATCGATAAAAAAATATTAAATGTTATTTTATGCATGATTATACGAAATTTTTAATGAAAAAAAAGTATCTTTACCGCTTCTGCCGCGTAAACAGCTTTTGTACAGCGCGGACATATATCGTTATTAACAGGAAAAGTCCAGCTTCGTTTAGGGCCTTTTGAAGATTGAGGCTTAGTACTGAAAATCCCAAAAGTTTCAGATGAAGGATTGGGTGCCGATTTTGGTGGCGATTGTGAAACTTTGTCTGAATCCGCATCATTTTTTGATTTACCATTGGATTTTGAGACTGGTTTATCCGTACTAAGAAAAGATGTGCCAGATGCAAAACCATAACCTTTACAAATAATCAAACTTGGTTATTAATATAGGTTATTGGCCCTACTGGACCTTGGCACAGAGCTTGTCTCACTTGCATTGTAAGCATACACGAAATTTCTTTATTGTAATTTTAATACTTTGTTTAATACCTATTTATGTTTTATATTTGAAAGGAT